GTTTTCTGCCCAAAAACCCGTTTGTTCGACTTAAATAGCCAGCCTGCCGACACTTTCGTCAGGCAAACAAAATAATGATGCGAGGAGAGTTTTATGCGTCATCTGAATTTGGAATTTACCAATACACGTGCTTATACGACAACGTTTTTGCTGTCTCACTTCATTTCTCTTTTGCATATTTTTCATCAATTGTTTTACTTACTTTTCTTAGATTTGAGAAGTGTATTTGATTGTAGGGAGGGAAAGAAGAAAAAAAACATTAGTAGTGTGGAAGATGAATTCCACACTGAGTATTTGTATGTGAATTTAGAGAAAAAATTTTGATTCTAAGAAATATCTATAAACTCAACGATTAAAAGAAGAGTAGAGCGGAGCTAGATTTATATTGATAATGAATCGAATATACAATAAAATCTCGAATGAGACGTATTACAAGCTGAAAATGTAGTGTATAGCTCTCGCGTAAGTTAAAAGTTTGCGAAATCTACTCGGTCTTGTGTATTTAAAACTCAATCCAGCATCACGTCTCTAGGGCGGTTCCGTGTATCTCGAGCACGTTCTTGGCATATTCCCCGCGAATCTCGTTCTTACGACTACGATAACCTCTCTGTTGACCCGTTCCTAGCTCGTTAGCTCAACACTTCTTAGAGCTGACTTGGGCTCCTGACCTAATCCTGCTTTTTTCTTGGGGCTTCTGGTCAAAGTGAAATAAGCAACAGGTTTTGACTTGGATTTTTGGAACAAGTAGTATATTTTGATTCATCGTATAACATTTTTTATTAATTCCGTTGAAGTTTTTATTTKAATAATATWTTTWTTTTTTYKTYGAAGGTAATTTGATTGGTTCATCAGTGAAGGGTTTGGGATCAAACCACTGTTTTTTTATCATTACATTCGATGTTAATCGAGGCTACCTGATTAATGATTATAGTGACTAATAAAAAAGTAAATTTCATACATGGTTCCTTGTGCAGGAAGACAAGATCCAAGATCACAATAAGGGTTCTTCTCCAAATCTTCTTATGCTCAATTACTGGGTATTTTACATATATACACTTTACCCTACTAATAGCAATCCCACTTTCTACACTATTTATTAACTTGGTTTATACCCCGATTAATAAATCTTGATTTGATTTGCAGTGTGACAGGAAACCAAGTGTTATACTTCGTAGGACTTCAGAATTCATCTCCGACCATTGCTTGTGCCTTAACTAATCTCTTACCGGCGGTCACTTTCCTCCTCGCCGCAATCTTCATGTTCTATATAACTCTTAATTAATTACTAATAAAGTTTTCATTAAACAAAACTCAGTGTTATACTAAGTCTTTATAACACAAAACAAAACTTTTCAGACAAGAAGCCGCAGGGATAAAAAAAGCCATCAGGACAAGCCAAAGTGGTAGGAACAATAGTATGAAAGTGTAAAAAAAAAAAGAGATTTAGTGAAGCGATGTAAACAGTAGCAATATAGTTTCTTTTTCAAACACACATCTATTAGATTATTTCTTTCAATGTAACTTACAAAAAACCTAAGTAGAGAACTTACAAATATCTCTAAATAATCTAATCTCTCACAAAACTCCTTACAAGGAACTCTCACCCTTTAGCCTTTAGAATGATCTCCCTCACAAAGCTTGATATCTAAAGCTATCCTCGACATCTATTTATACACATAGATGTCAATGGTTTTCCAGTTCTATGACACTAACAATTTTCCTTTTTTTTTTCTTTGATCGAAAGACATGTTACAACTATCGTCTAATCTCAACCGTCGAATAATTACGAGTCAAAACACCGGTCAAGAAAAAGTTTGACTTACAGAGGAAATCGATGACGAGCCGTCCGTCGGACAAACGGCCGGTGGATCGCCGGAAGAACGAGCGGCCATAAGGGAGGCTGATGGCGTAGCCGAGTTCACCGGAGTCCACCGGTGTCAGAGTTGGAATCTCCAAAATTAAAGTTCACCGGTGGAGATTGACATCCTCCGGCCACCGCTAAGTGATGTCGGAGATTGAATATCACCGGAAGGAGAATAAGGAGGAGGAAGAAATGGGAGTGAAGAGAGAGAGTAGCCATTTGAAGAGAGTCAGAGAGAGTGCTCTTGATAGTGTGAAGAGAGCTTTGTAATGGTCAAGCCTATAGTGTGGGCCTTTTTTTTATAGCTTTAGACCTTTAGTGTGATCCTTAATTTTATTTGAAAACAAAGCCACGATTATTTTGTAAGTTGACACTGACACATAACTCCCGCAACTTAAGAGCTCATGTGGAATGTATGTGAGGAGATGGACATAAAATTTGAACTAGCAACGGTATAAAAATGTATCAAACTATATTGTTGTTGTTGGCTCAAGGGGCAAACTCTAACCTAGTTTCTTTATCATTGGTTTTGCAGTATAGTCCTCCTTCAGACACTTCAATGAACTACATGGATAACTACATGCAGCTTCCAGAAGACTCTGTGCCATGCAAACTCCGGGCCAAACGCGGCTGCGCCACCGATCCGAGAAGCATTGCTGAGCGAGTCAGTTCAGTGAACCCTTTCCTTTTATTCCAAAGTTAGCAATGAAAAGGATATTTTTTCGCAAAATTTAGTGATAAATAACTACTACAAATTTTATGTTTTGTACAAAAACTAAAAAAATAGAAGAGGATCAACAAGAGAATTTGGTCGGTAACTATGTAAAGACAGATTCACAAAACATTATACGAAACAAAATTTCATGTATAACTACATTTTTACCCTCCTATTTTACAATCTTTTTTTTAGATACTGATG